TTTTTTTATTTTACGTATTGTACAGTACATTTGATCATTTTATTTTGTAGAAACACTTCGACCAAAACAACTGCATTTATCATTTACGCATTTTCCACGTAATATACAAGTACCTTTACACTTCAAACGTAAAGCTTCTACCTTAGAGAAAACGTGGTAATATTTAAATGAAATTGTAAAATTTATATTTAAAGGTTTTCATTTTTCAAAAATTCTTCCTTCTTATAAGTGGGGGAAGATAATGTAACACATTACACATTACTATAATCTAACTACGACTATTGTTGTATGGCGTATTAAATTAAGTAATGTATAGAGTGGGAAAGAATGTCACTTAATAATCTTGTTACAGAACATAAAATATACCCAAACTTAATTCGCTAACGTCAGGACACATTAGATTAAGGAGGAAACGGATTGATGTGTATTTTGATATTTTGTTTTAGAGACACTTGAAAAAACCAAGTGGCCATAGCTTCTATACTAAAAAAATACAAAAGAAAAAAGTTTTATCTTTCGTAGACGTAGTTTTATTAATTAAAGTTTTCATTGCCATTGTACACAACAGTATACATAAGTGAACTGTACCGTACATAAGAAATATTTCTTGTTAAAAATTACGGATATAATTAAAATTAGTGACAAATTAGTTTAATCTTTTGTATAAAGAAATACAAAACATAAATTTTTAAATATTTTGTTGCTAATTCTAAAGTTCTACTAAGAAGAAAATCAAGACACCCAATGAAAATTATGTAGTTACTGATTTTTAATGCTGACAAATTCACAATATAAAAATACTTTATTAAGCATAAATAAAGAAATTAAAACAGTATTATTCGTTGGTTTAATCGAAAAATGTGCAATTACGTTATCACTTAACGAACAGCAAAGTTTGGCACTAAAGTAATTTAATTATCGGTTTATTACTTTGGTAGCGTTAACTTTCGCAAAGTTAATTGCAGTATTAAAATTTTATTAATTATATTATTAATAACTGTGCAGTAAAAATTTTTATCACTTTTTGTATTCATTCGTTTGTATCAGTACTTTCTCCAAAATATTTTGTAAAACAGGGATTTCTAACAGGCTTACAGGATACAGACTTTTCGGCTTACAGGATACAGACTTTTCGGCTTACAGGATACAGGCTAACAGGCTTACAGGATACAGACTTGGCTTACAGGATACAGACTTTTCGGCTTACAGGATACAGGCTAACAGGCTTACAGGATACAGACTTTTCGGGATCACTGAAATTTCGAAAGGGTTGAATTTTCACATCAGAAATTTTTTGTATTGTTCGAGAATTTCAGATAATTTCTAAATAATAAAAACAATCGAGTGAAAAAGTAATTAACTGATTTAATAATTTTTTTTGGTATATTAAGCAAAACGTTTGAAATGAAAATTTTAAGGGGTTTATTGAAAAGAATAGTTTATGCATGGGATTCAATAGAAGAAAACAGTTGGGAACCCCTCTTGTAAAATGAGTTATGAAACTGCTGTGAAGTCGAAAATTTCTCTGTCACGTCGATCTGTATAAATTCTACTTTTTAAGTGTAAAACGTTATTTCTGATATCAGCGAAATAAATATCAATAGCGAAAAAGTACGAAAATGAAATATTAAATGTTTTTCCAAAGACAAAATGTATGGCACATGGTTTTCGGGTTGAAAACATGTTTCTTCTACAGGTGTCACTCGTGTTGTTACTAACATATAAACCATTTTTGTAAATACTCTCAATTAATTAGTTCACACTATCCAATTCCTTCGTTACTACAAGGAAAATGTAGTAAAATTCGAGTCCATAGCACGAATTCTTTGTTTGAAGTTCCTGAACTTTCCTAATTTGTATATAGACGAACCTGACTGATGGCCGGTTTGCCAAGAGGGTAAGATAGAGACCTACCGCTGTGGGAGTTCCAGTATAGAATTCGGGCAGGTCGAAAAACCTGCGATCATTTCTGGATAGTTCGTAGTTATATGTTGGGTCTCACCACTCACCGTCGAACCCATAATGGAGTTCGTAATAAAATTTACTCTTGTTGGACATAAGAGTTAAGAGAAATTTAAATGTAACCTTTGAAATAATCAAAATTATTTATATTTCTAATATATAAGTTAGATAATTATTTAATTATCATAGAAAATGAGTTTATAAAGTTGAGTCATGGAAATCNTTCGAATTTGTAAAATCCTGTTGTAAAATGACTTATGAAAATGGTCAGAAGTCGACAGTTTCTGTATGATGTCAATCTGTATTAATTCTACAGGTATTTTTGAAGTTCCTGAACAATTATAATATGTATATAAACGAGCCTAACTGCTGGATTGCCAAGAGGGTAAGGTAGAAACCTACCGCCGTGAGAATTCCAGTATCTAATTCAGACAGGTCGAAAACTCTACGATTATTTGGGGTTGTTTCATAGTTATACATCGTGTCCCATCCCATACTACCCAGTCGAATGAATTTTCATAAAAAACGACTCTTCTTATAGCCCAAATGAAGATAAGAGTTAAGAGAAATTTAAATGTAACCTTTGAAATAATCAAAATTATTTATATTTCTAATATATAAATTATAGAAAACGAGTTTATGAAGTTGAGTCATCGAAATCTGGAAGAAACAATAAATATTTTATAACCGTCAACGATAAATATCAAGTAAACTGCCAAGGAAATAAAGAACTTTAATTATATAATAAAAACGTAATAATAGGAAAGATTTATTTTTCTATCGATAACTTTAGACCAATGAAGTTTTAATGGATTTAGAGATGAGTAATACAAATAACAAATAGGTGCGTATTAAAAACGATAATATTTTATAAATGTGTAAAATTTATTAGGTTTTATTAATTCATGTGATTGCCAAGTAATGTAAGAATGGAAAACGTTTACAAGTCTTCGTACGGTATGACTGGCATAAGTATTTAATTATAAATAAATTTAAATATCTGTTCGAGAAAACTATGGTGATAAATTATTATATCAGTAAAAAAAAATTCTAGTCTCTTCGGTTAAATATGAACAATCATAGTGAAATGCTCAGTGCCTCGTTCTTCCCCATTTCTCACGCAACTGGAATTTAAATTAACTTATTAAATTGTTACGAAAAAACAATATTACATCCTTAGTTTGATGAAAATCACAATATATAAATTTCATTATTATATATTATTTTTCGAAAAAATAAACACCCCCTTCTTTGAAAACTATTATTGTTTAAAGTATATTATGTTATTATGTATTTAATATTTAATTACAGTATAGCAGTTTTCCTTTTGATTGTTTATTGTTGACAATCATAAAACATTTATTTCTATATCCAGGCTTCGATGCTCGTAATAATTATTCACACCAATTTTGTAATTAATTAAAATATATAATATTATAATAAATTTTATTGCTTCACTTTATTAAACAAATATTTAGGCTATATTTTATTTTTCTGGCTGATAAAACTTTATATATAGTTATGGCGCGTTACATATGAAAGAAAAGCTTTGTGGTTATAAAATAATTATAAATACCGGAGTTGAAAATGGTGATACGGGTGCATGTTTCGCCGGTTATATCAAGGCCCCTGGTGTAGAGGTCATCTGTCATGTGAAGAGTCTTTTGTCTGATTCCGGTTGGTGAAGTCTGGGTTTAAAGCGCCGGTTTTACGGATAAATTTGGTAAGTCCGTTGTAGGTGACACTGTTGTTGATGAGGAGATCGGGCGTGCAGGGCCAGTTGAATCCTTCAATGAGGGCTTTGTGAATAAGTTGAGATTCTCTGTGTGTCATAGAGGTTGCATTCAAAGATGAAGTGCAGGGGATCCTCTATAGCGCCACTGTCACACTGACAGAAGGAGGTGTCTCTGTGTTGGAATCTATTGAGATATTGTCGAAAGTTCCCATGGCGATTAAATATATAGATATATATTAACTTTTGATGCAAATTGGAACTCGTGTTATTTTAATTCAAAAATTTACACCCGGAAGGTGTTAGATTGATGATCGGCAATACTCTATTATTGAAAGGAAAACTATGATGTACGGGGTAAAGCTACTATTAATTTGACTTGAAAAGCCTATATTTTAAATTTAAAAAATTAATAATATGATTAAAAATTGCAGCCTAGCATTATGACGATGTCACAATAAATAATTGCTCGTTTTATTTAATTAGTATAAAATATAAGAAAAGAAATGTGCTTCGCTCCTATTCTCTTTCCATTACCTGTTACCTGGAGTAGAAATATTCATTCAATTTAAATTCAAATATTGTAATATATTGCTTATAAAAACACATACATTTTGAAACTTACTACTCTGCACAATAACAGTCAGCTATAAACAAGTAGGGGTTGTTCAGATTGATGCCATAAAGATATCTTCGTTTTGTAGTATTTATAATTACAAATAAACTAAACTAATTAATTCAGAATTCTTACACAATTGTTTACTTACTGAATATAACACAAGTCACACACATTACAAGAATTAGTGTTATAATATGAAAAGCACGTAATCTTTCCATTTTCTATTTCACTGAAATCAGAAATGACGATTCGCTCTTAAATATAGAATTTAACATAATGTAGAAACTGTCGATTTTAGATAAATTTGGGTATTTTTAAGGCAAATATATTTTTAATTACAAAATGTTTAGAATTGATACAAACGGATAAGTACAAAAATATTTAATGATTATCACATAAGAGTATTGAAAATACTTCTTACTTTTAATTATAAGCTGAATCATTAATTCGGTTATTTCCAAGATGTTTAAATAATTAAATTTTAATATTGTTTATTTTACATAATAAATGTTATTGCCATTCAAATAATAAATCGATAATAAAAGTATCTTATCGTGGAGCTTTCTCATTCGTCAATTTATACGTAAGAAAAAAGTTTGTATTCGTACTAACCAATTAAATTTCAGTGTTTTGTTGCCTTTTGTGTATATATACTGCATGAAAATTGTTACATTATGAGAATTCACCAGTTTGTCTGCTGTATTCAATCAGTAAGTACATAATTTCTCACCTTTTAAAGTTTTTCATAAAAATACTTGATTACTCCTTTAATAATTTCTTATCTGTAGTGGCAAATATTAGTTTTTTTTTACTTCCTTTAGTGCAACAACAAAATTGTTTTTCCTCTTTCCTCTTCTTCTCATATTTTTGCTCGTCTGCACTAGCAGCTTTCGCTTCCTCATTTCCTTCTGCGCTTTGCTGGCTTCAGAGGATTCGGGCTCACAGTTCTCTATCATTCTGGTTCGAGAGAAAAGAAAATATTGTCAAATAATCGACAATCATTTCAAAAAGGGCCACTACTAATCACTGCCAGAATGGAAGCAAACTATTAGCAATGAAGTCGTTAGCTCTGACATGACCAACTATGAATCGCTCTAAACTCATCTTTATCTGTTAGAAGCGTTCACATTCCTGTCGAATTTTTGCAAGTAAACTTTAGATACTACCGAGCACAATTAACCAGATTTCTATAACCTAGACCGAACTTTAAAATTGGGCTTACACTGTGGAAATACGGCATGGTAATATATGAACTCCATGTTGTACGAGTCACTTAGATTTTACAAATACGTGTGCCGGGCTGTAAACGGCTCATGTATTTGTAAAATCTAAGTGACTCGTACAACATGGAATTCATATAAAACGGAATTATCAACAGTGTTATAGGGGGATCGACTGAATTAAGGTAATCTCGCGTTTGTGTACAGTTTGTGTGCGATTGATTTCATTTGTGGATGTGAAATGAAAATAATCCAACAAAAATTCTACCCTAACTACTATATAAATCGATCATTACGCTGTTTTGTATATCTGGTGATGAAATTACTCCTAGATTTCAAATATACGTTTTTCTAAATGACTAATTATTTTACTGTTTAATCTATATACACATTCGGCACTAAATATTTGAGTATTAATTTTTGTGTTTTAATTTACATTATTTAATTAAATTTAATTTGCACACCACACAGCGTAGAAAATACAACGACTACTGTTAGACGTGTAAGGTTCCTTCAAAGTAAACTAGAAGCACATCAGATTCACGAAATTTGAATAATTATCGTGTAAATAATATGTAGTAAATTAAAAATTTCGAACACCGTGTATTTATTATACATGATTTAACACTATAAATTATCTTCGCACTTGTAGAAACGAAGAATTTGTGAAAGATGAAAACCGTTGGATTTCTTTCGGTTCTGCTTGTCTTGAATGCGATGATTGGTAAGTAATTAGTCATCCCCTTTAACGATGTATGATACATTTCATAAAATACGTAAATTTTACAATTTTATGAAACTTTTTAACGTTTTCTTTCAGCAACTTTTTCAATGGTGGAAGCTCTATGTTTGTCTTGAAGAGGGGGAGATTATGACTGCAGGGTTAGTGGAACATGCGAAAATGGTAAATGTGTATGCGGCTCTGGTCGAAGTGATTTCTCACGCGACTACAAAAAATGATCAGAAAATAAGAATGGAAGTAATAAATGTACTTGGAATTAATAATTAAATATGTTTAAATGCATATGTTCGTGTTTGTTTTTTAAATAAGATTTAGGGGAGATCGGGGCAAGATCGGCATGTTAAGCTTTACTTAAATTTTGTGTAATAAATACTGCTGTAAACTGAAAAAAAAGCTTTGCATATTGTCTATTGGAATGTTACCTTACTATAGAACTGGTTAAAATCAGTTTGGAAATAAAAATAATTAAAATAATTACAACTTTACAAGAAGAGAGAAATTGACGAAGTTGCCCCGGGTATAGGGGCAAGATCGGCAACTTCTCTCTTTTTGTAAAGTTGTAATTATTTTAATTATTTTTATTAAAGTTGCCCCTGGTATAGGGGCAACAGTAATGGGGCAAGATAGGCACGTATATAAAATTATGTTATTAACAATGTATAAGTTGGAATTCACTATTAAAACAAAGAAATACAAATCCAACACCCATTTAATATTATTACAACGAAATGCAAGTTCAAAGACATATATACATGAATAACAAATGCAAACATGTTTTCATTTATCATCTGTTTGATTTTTATCCTTTGCTTCTAATGTGGCTTTATGTTGCCGATCTTACCCCGCTAGTCATGATTTCGAAACATTAAGTACAACCCTGAGAACAGAATGCCAAGCCACGATCTGGCCACGTGAATAAGTTGAAGTTACATCCTTCTAACAGGAAAAGTAACTTTCGTTATCATGGAATTATAACAAAACCTGCCAATTCAATATAAATGGAAAAAAAATATTATATGGAATTGAACGAAAATGAAAATTTGCTTATTAATTCAACTACGCTTGTTGGAGAACAATAAAAACACTACACTCAACAAGCCACCAATAAAACGCAACTGCCTAACCTATAACCAAAGTCTCCTTTTAATTTGTTTTTTAAAAAAAGCGCTTGACAAACTTGCCCCGCATGCCGAAGTTGCCCCGATCTCCCCTAATTCACAAATTCATAAAATGATAATTATAAATTAAAACACTTTTATACATTTAAAATTTCATACAGAAAACTCGTTATAATTGAAGAATTTTGAAATATTTCTATGTATTTTTTATCAAAACGAATTCATTTCGCTTATATTGCTTAAGAAAAATATGATAAAAATAGAAAACAAATTATTTTATAAAGGAAAATTGAAAAAAACGTCTTTTAATTTTTTTATTTCTTAAAATAACCCTCTTGTTTAATTTTTTTTATATAAAATCATGTATCTATTGTTTCACATTGTGTTTTTCTGGAAAGGCTAATGACAATTCGTTAGCCAATAGAAAACATTCTTTTGTTATTCATTTATATTTACCGAAAGATCTACTATCAAGACACAATGTAACAATGCTAATACGTCATAAACTGCTAATTACGCCAGTCAATGATACTTTTTATATATAACGATTAAAGTTGTCTTTCTCAGGCGCTCCCATGAGAAAGTTTGTGTTTAGATATAACCAAAGAAATATGTTTTTTAAGTGATTTATCAACAACAGGAATTGTCATATCGTTGCCGAATTTTGGCATAGAGATAAGTCTGAAGCAGATATAGAAATGATTACAGTTACATAATGATGGCGCATTCCGTAATGCCAGCATAAAACGTTAAATTGCGTTTTACTTAATTAAGGTACAAAAAGCGAGTAAAGGCATGTTGTATGTAGTTTACCTTCGCAGAGCGACCACGAATCACTAGAGATGCCTCTAACTCGCAATCGAACACCATACGAACAGCTAAACGAGTTAAGAGGAAAGGTCATCATCCGGTCTTGATGAGCCAGATGATCTGCCCGAAAAGCCTGCTTTCTAGACCTTTCTAACAACACTGTGAGTTGTTGAAATTCGTGGATGACAGAGAGTTCGAACGCAAGATGCCCAGAGTCGTGACACTGTCGGCAGACCACTAGTCTGAATTTTCGGCTGTGAGCTCACTGGCTAACCGTATTGTTGTCCGGCTTTCGGACACAGATGGCGCCATCGTTACAGATCTACGTGTCTGTTCGTACCATATTGAAGCGCCTGGGTGAAGAACATCAGGTATGGCAGCGGCAAAAATTAAATGAAAAATTATTCATACGTGTTTTTATTCAGCAGAAATCGCACGAGCATTTTGCAAATATACAAAGATTCTAATAGGACGATGACTTGACGAAGCGCGAAAATTAAAAATTTATTATGGTGTGAGTTACTTGAGGTCAAAATACTCCTTGTGTCTTCTACAAATTTGTAAAACTTGTCACGCGCTAAAAGTGAATCGAGTTTGCGATTGCTCATAATTTATTGGTACATTAATCTCTACGGCGATTTTATATTTTGACATTGGTATTTAACATGCTCGATCTCCTGTCAAATTTAACTTTTCAAAATTCGCCCGTGCGTATTTTTAATTAGAGTTAATAAAATGCATGCTGCGCATATCAGGGTTTTAAATGCGTATTAACGTTACTTTTGGTGATAACAATAGATATGCACGTGCGTCTTAAATGCTGATTTTGATCTGCTTTAGACATAACGTTAGAAAATTACTTCCATAGTCGTGTTTCCTTTTCCTGTGTCCAGCTGATACAGAAAAAATTTCCGTGGCGGAAAATACCTAGTATACTTATATTAATAATTATATACACTTCAGTTTATATAATTATAAAGTTTATATACATTTCAGACAATTCGATGTACAAATTTAATCGTTGAAGTAATTTTAATTCTGGTTCGGACGTATACTGACTACAATGACAGTCGAACACCGGTTTAAATACAGTTTAAATGTGCGTACAGTATAAGTTGCCTTGTCCGTTTATAGACGATTAACAGAGTCTTCAACTGGTAACATAATGTTTTGTTCAATGTTTTTGTTGTCACGTTGTAGATCATCAGACTGTCGTTGTTCTATGGACTTTAATCTAATCGAAGTTGAACAACCAGTGCAGAAATGTCTGTCCGTCAATTCAAAGCGAAAAAAAAAAAACCAATCCGGGATGAAATGTCAAGTCCAGTAAATTAAGTCGTAGCCGGGTGAAACGTCATTTCCGGGTGACAAAGTCGTATTCGGGTGGCAGAGTCATATCCGGTGAAAAGTGACCTCGGAAGAGAAAATTTTCATTTTACGCAGCAGAAGAAGAGCCTTTTCCACCAAGGTTTCTTCTGCTTGACGGATGTTTCGACCATCACTTTGGACTCCCCTCGACACTCCACCGTCCATTCTGCAACTTCCGGGTACCGCAGTCCCAGGTAGTCGACCACAGTCGAGGCGCTATCGTCGGGAGTAATGACAACCACCCGTTTGGTGCACTCTCCGCTCTCCTCGACATCTTTCGGGAGCACCCGAATCACTGGAAACGAAGCGGAAGACGACGACGAGCCTTCTTCCTTC